GTTCGATGCTGTGGGCCCCGGGGCGAGAGCGCGGCCTTTCCCATGGGAATCGCAGATGCACCCTCTGCCCGGTGCCGACCGCTGCCCTTCCGGACCCACCTCCACCCCCACCCTTTGCTTTGCCCGGGATCCTGTCCTCTGCGGGGACAGTCACCAGCGCCTGCTCGCTGACTTCCAGTTGGGTCCCGAGGGGAGGGCGGGAGGAGCGTGGTGGGTCGTCTCTCTGTCCCTCAGCGCCCTCCCTGCACGTCCCGGGCTGGCTGAGTCCGGCTCCGGCCACAGCCTCACACCGGGCCTCCCCTCCCAGGGCCCTGATTGGCACCTGCCCTTTGCCCCTCGGACCCAGGGTGGGAGGCAGCCCCCGCTGTGGTGTCTTTAGCTGCTGCATTCACAGTTTGCCTACATCCTGTTCACACATCTGGTGGTTAAAGACGATCTCACCATTTCCTGACGTACAGGTGCCGCTCGCTGTGGGGACTCTGACTCATGGGCCCATGGCCATCGGTCCAACCTGGAAAGTTCCCCTTCACTCAGACACGCCCATGAGCAGAAGGACATGCCCAGGAGCAGGGCCAAGGTCGTTCAGCACAGAAAAGACAGAAGCAATTCCAGTCGCCATCGGGGGAACTGGGGATATGAATGGTGCACGTCCGCAGAATAGGCAGAGCGACTATTTAAAAGCAACAGGAAACTCTGGTGCTAATGTAGACAGATCCCCGGTATGTGTGTAAGTGGAAGAGCAGGGGCAGGACTGGGCATGGATATGCGATCTTTTATATAAAAACGTGGGAGAAAAATAGGTTTGTTTTGCTGATGCATAAAGGCATTCTGAAAGGCTCATCAAAAAAATAATGTAGCCTGGCTGGTGTGGCTCAGTGGTTGAGTGTTGACCTATGAACCAAGGAGGTCATGGTTCGATTCCCGGTCAGGGTACATGCCCAGGTTGTGGGCTCGATCCCCAGTAGGGAGCATGCAGGAGGCAGCCCATCCATGATTCTCTCTCATCATTAATGTTTCTATCTCTCTCTCCCTCTCCCTTCCTCTAAAATCAATAAAAATATCCTATATAATAAAAGGCTAATATGCAAATCAACTAAAGGGCGGAATGACCAGTTGCTATGACATATGCTGACCACCAGGGGGCTGACGCTCCATGCAGGAGCTGCCTCCTTGGGGATCAGTGTGCTCTCACAGGGGGAGCGCCACTCAGCCAGAAGCAAGGCTCACGGCTGGCGAGCATAGTGGGTCTGGCAGGAGCCTCTCCTGCCTCCGCAGCAGCACTAAGGCTGTCTGACTGACAGCTTAGGCTGGGGAGCGGGCCTAAGCTGTCAGTCGGACATCCCCCAAGGGCTCCCGGACTGTCAGAGGGCGCGGGCTGGGCTGAGGGACCCCTCCCAAGTGTACAAATTTCGTGCACCAGGCCCCTAGTATTAAAATAATAACAAAAGCCATTTTCTAAAGGAAGCAAGTCTCTTCACTGTCTACTTTTCTGTATGTTTAAAGTTTTGGAACCAGATTACTGTGTTACCTGCTCAAGAGTTAAAGTTAAAATTTCTTCCTGCCTCGGTGGGGGACGCAGAAGCTGAGCTCAGGGTGCTCGTGGACGTGGGGGGAATGGTCCTGCTCCCGGCAGCCTCTCCTCATCTTGTCTCCGCCCGTTTTAATGAGACGCTTCCGAATCGTGATCGCCCGATACTGGTCTCCTTTCAGATGTGAGCGTGAGGAAGGACTTAGGAAGCAGCAGAGATGCTGTGGGCCCGCAGAGCCGTGGCAATTAGACTGGCCAGTTTGTATCTCATGGGTAAGTGACACTTTTTATCGTCGCTCTGTGGGAGCCCGTCTGCTAAGCCATCGTCACTGAGCCCTTTCCGGGGGATGGGAGCGGGGGGGGGAGCAGCACGCTGAGACCCGGTCTCGGCCTGCCCGCGGGCCAGGGCCAGGGGGAAGGTGGACAGGAAGCCGGTGCTGAGAGGTTTCTGCCCGACGGTCACTTTAAGGAAAACAAACAAAAACAAGAACGGCATAAGGCTCGCTAAGGACGGGAAGTCCGGCCCATGGGCCTGGCCGGCGTCTCTCCTAACGCCCTCCTCGTGCCGACTCCGATCTGGAGCGAGGCCAAGCCCTCCCGTCCGGCCAAGGTCACCGCACTGAGCGTCGACCCTGACCTGTGGCTCCACGCTCCGTTTTTTATTGATTGCTTTCCTCCGTCATACGTGTGCCTCCCCCTGCCTTTCCGGTGACTCCGTTTTAGCACACGTGTCCTCTGTCTGTCATCTGTTCCGGGCAGGACGGCCCGTCACTGCGGGGTATCTGAGCCTCCGCGGCCCCCGCGGACGGGAAATGTCCCCGCTCACCGCGACACCCGGCAGGCAGAGGAAGAGCGAGTCCCCAGCCCCTGCACCCTTCCTCCCCCCGCCCCCTCGGTGACCATCGTCACCTCTGAGGTTTATTAATGAGCAACATGCTTCTTTATATTCGGAGGATTTTTCCGGGCGGACGACTGCTTCTCGAGGCAGCCCCCAACCCGCCACGCAGCAGCCCCTGTGCTCATACCAGCCCCCACTCTCCTGTGGGGCCCACTCGGTTCCGTGCTCGCACGCGTGTGTGAGAGGAGGCCCGCGCGGAGCGGCAAGTGTGAACGGAGCCCCGAGAGGGTGCGGTCTGTCTAACGCGGCTTTCTTCCTCCTAGTGCACGTCGGGCCCTCGCTGGGTGCGCCGCAGGCTTCGCTCGGTAAGAGGCGTCTCCTGATCGACTGGATGCTGGAAGGTCGGGGGCGGGGTGACCAGTCAGGCGCCTAAGATGTGGGGAAGTTTCTTTCCGATCCCAGATCTGTTGCCCGTTTTGTTTGATGGTCCCCTTTGCCTCACAAAATTATTGTAAGAAATTAACACCAGAGGCCATTTTAAAGCCCCTTAGAACAGCGGTTCTCAACCTGTGGGTCTCAACCCCTTTGGGGGTCGAACAACCCTTTCACAGGGTTCGCCTAAGACCATCGGAAAACATAATATAATTACATATTGGTTTGTGATTAATCACTATGCTTTAATGATGTTCAATTTGTAACCATGAAATTGGGGGTCACTACAACATGAGAAACTGTATTAAAGGGTCGCGGCATTAGGAAGGTTGAGAACCACTGCCTTAGCAGAGTCTCCCATTTAAAAACCCTGAGTAGGAGAATGCGGAACCGCAGGCTACGCCAAGCAAAAGATGGTCCAGGAATAATTCCCCTGCATTTGGCGTCCTTCCACCAGTCCCCCCATGCCTGGACCGATAAAGGAAAGTAAATTTGTAGTTGGCTGTGTTGGGGTGACACTGGTTAATAAAGTTACACAGGCTCCAGGCATACAGCTCCACAGCACACCGTCTGTGTGTCGCATTGTGCATTTACCACTCCACATTGAAAAGCATTTTTAAACTAAACTTCTTGAGCACATATGCAGACCTGCCCACCAAGCTTCCCTCCGTGTTAAATGCGTGTCCAGCCCGTGCTGGGCGCTGGGGGAGGGCGCTAGGAAACTGAGAGCGTCGGAGGCACTGTGAGCAGACCAGGCAGATCTGACAGGCGTAGCTCCCTTTGGCCGCTCCCTCGTCCCAGCTGCGCAGCACTGGGTGCCTCGGGGTCAGTTTCCCAGTCTGCAGAATGGGTCTGCAGCGCCCACGTCAGCATGGCTGTGGGGACTCAGTGCCTGGGGTACAGGTTCTCCCCGCCCCTGGGACGGAAATGAGGTCAGCGGGGGATTCCCAGGAGGAACAGCGGAGGAAGGGCAGGGAGAGGAGTTGGAGGGGAGCCGAGGGAGTGGGGGGCCAAGATGGCGTGGGCATTGTGGTCCAGTGAGCCGCTGAGCTCGGTGAGCACGGGGGGCCCAGTCTGTGTACACGTTGCTGACGGCCCTAAACGCGCCTGTGTCCTGTGCTGCTCGTTGGTTAATGGGGTCAGGAGAGCCGTTCCCTTCCCGAGGGTTCAGGGGCGCCGGGCTCCGGGCTCCGGGCTTCTTTGCCGGGAACATGGGCTCCAGATCCCAGGAGTCGGCCAGGACCCGGCCCTGGCTTCAGCGTTCTGTGTTTTTTCTCCTGCTTCCCTCTAGCGTCTTCAGATGAGTCTTGCATTTTCAGCCTGACCTTGAGGAATTTCCGGCCAATATTATCCTGGGAATTAAAAAACCGCTCCATTGTCCCAGCGCACTACACGCTGCGGCACACGATCATGAGGTTCGTTTCGCGTCTCGTTCTCTTGCTGAATACATGGCCGACTTCTGGGCGGGAGGGGCGACTCTGAGGCAGGCTTCTCCCTCTCTCCCTCTCTCTCTCTCCACCCCCCACCCCCGCCCTCTGGGGGGTGTGGGGTGTGTGTGTGTTTTCTTGGGAGCTTTAAAAACCCAGACACAAAAGCATATCTGTTTAACCCTTTGAGTGCCAACCAATATCCTAGGGACTGTGCTAAAATTGCCAACCATTTTTGCTGATTTTACAGCAGTTCAGGAAAAAACTTATGAATCACAAGTAAATGAAGTTACAGATTCAAAAACTTAAGGAAACCATTACTACATTTGTTTTCATCTTTGACATATATCGTTTGCTGATTGTATTATAAAATACTGGTAGAAAAAGAATTTGCACAAAACATATGTTAAAATAGAGGGACACCCTTCTCCAATATCTTCCACAAAATCCTCATCTTCACAGCAAGAATCGACATGTTTAGCAATGTCATCATCACCAATAAAAGCAGACTTAGAACCGGACGCCATTTCGAAGCTTTAGGGCTAGAAATCTGAGTAAACTTCATACAGTCTAGTACCGGTAAAAGATCAGGCAGGTGAATGCCAGTGGTCAATTTCAGAACTAGAAACGTTCGGCCTCACAAGTAACCTGCACGTAGGTGCCGTCTGGCAATACAGAGTGAGCTACCAGCATCTAACTGACGCCGCGGGAGGAGCGCGATAGAGAGCACTCCCGGCACTCTAGGGGTTAACTGGACGGCATCTCGGACAGTTCACTGCCATTTGGGACAAAGCTCACATGGGTGACCAAGGCCGGTTCCCTCAGAAGCAGAAGCACGATGGTGTGTGGTTCCCACAGGCCCGCCCTCATCCGCGACCGGGGCTGTTTGAAAGTGCGCCCTTTTCTGGGACAGGAGTCCAGGGCCGGGACCGGCGCCATGGCCGGGCTCACTGTGCTTTGCTCGGGGACCCAGGAGGCACAGGGGGAAAGCTCCCGGCCCAGAGTGCAGCTCGGTCACCGCTGTCACCCTGGGGCCCTGTCACCCTGGGGCCCTGTCACCCCGGGGCCCTGTCACCCTGGGGCCCTGGCCACCAGCTCCGTCTGAGCTCAGCCTCCCGCCTCGGGGCCTTGCAGGGTTCACTATGTGAGGGACGTGCCTCCTTGCTCTCCCCTTCCCGCGTGGGACAGGCACCCTCCCGGGTCCCATGTGGGCCCAGGAGCCCTCAGCGTGTCCTTTGGTTCATTGCTTATTTGCCATCGAGCTGATACCACTCCTGACAGGCACCGGGCACCTTTTTTTTGCTTTTTTGTAAAATATATTTTTATTTCAGAGAGGAAGGGAGAGGGAGAGAGAGAAACATCAATATGAGAGCGAGTCATGGACCGGCTGCCTCCTGCACGCCCCACACTGGGGATCGAGCCCGCAACCCGGGCCTGTGCCCTGACCGGGAATCGAACTGTGACCTCCTGGTTCCTAGGTCGACGCTCAACCACTGAGCCGCCCGGCCGGGCCCGGTGGACCTGGTGAGCCTCTGCGTTGGCCCCGGGCACAGGGCCTGCCTTTCGACGCCGAGGAGCCCTCAGGGCCGTGCTGCCCTCCAGGGCACAGGCGGGCTGAGCACAGGGCCTTGGGGTCCTCAGCTGGGGAGACGGGTCTCGGCGGGGCACCCGCGATTGCCCGGGAGGGGCAGGGAGCCCCAGGGCCTCCCCCATGAACACCCCAGGCTCGCTCATCCATCGCGGGTGTTTCCCGAGCGCCTGCTACATGCGGGGACAGCGTGACCCCGTGTCCCTGTCCTGCTGGCAGACACCCTGGCAGGAGGTGCAGACAACCGTGAACAATCCTAGTGCACCGAGCGGGAGGGAGATGCTCGGAACGGACGTGTACAGGGAGCGGGTGGGGAGAGGGCGGCGGGACAGAGGGGAGGGACTGGGACCCCCGGCCGCACCCCAGCCAGAGTCTCACCACGGAAACACCCGTTTTCCTTGTCCCGTTTCTTTTCCTACCAAAGTAAAGGAGCAGACCTGGAGCTGGTGCCGGGGTGCGCCAACATCACGCGGCCCTCCTGCGACGTCACGCACGCGTGGCGCAGCCTGGTGGAGATGTACCTGCCCTGGGTCATCGGGTCCCGGGGGAGCACCACGCTGGTCAACTGCGTGGGCAAGGTCTCCCCGGTCCTGGAAAGTGAGTTCTCCCGTTTCTCAGCCTCGGGGTCCCCACGATCGCAGTGTCGTGTTCTGCCCAGAAGCAGGCAGGTCTGCAAGGTGCTGGGCCTCGGGCCGGGCTCCCTCCCGGCCAGCTGCTGCCCTGCTCAGTGGCCTGTGGCCGAGCGGTTCCTCGCTGCTCTGAGCCTCGGTTTTCCTGTCCGGACAGTGGAGCGGCTCCCCCTGTGGGAGGCAGACACGGGCAGTAGCCTCTGCTGCCTGTTGGCTTGTTTTTTTGTTTTGTTTTATATGTTTTTATTGATTTCAGAGAGAGGAAGGGAGAGGAGAGAGAGAGAGAGAGAGAAAGAGAGAGAGAGACACATCAAGGATGAGAATCATTGATCGGCTGCCTGCTGCACACCCCACACTGGGGATCAACCCCGCAACCCAGGCCTGTGCCCTGACCGCGAATCAAACCGTGACCTCCAGGTTCGTAAGTCGAGGCTCAACCCCTGAGCCACGCGGCCGGGCCCTCTGGTTTGTTTCACCGCCTGGCAGGAAGCGGAAGCAGGGTCCCCGGCCTGTTACCTGAGCTGTCACCCCTCTTGGGGCCAATGTTCTCCTTAGTCCTGCCACGCCTCCCCCAGATCACGTCTTAGGAGCCTTTTGACATGTGAGCGCCGGGTGGGCATGCCCGGGGCCCAGGCTCAGACAAGGCCATGCCCGGGGGGCCTGCCCTCCCTCCGCACCCGATGGTGCCCGAGTTCACAGCCCCACGGCAGGCGGCAGCGGCCTCGGCCAGACCCCACGGCTTCTTGCTTTCTCCGTGTCCTCATGTGCAACCTGCTTCCAGGAGGAAGGTTCGGTGTTCGCCCCTGTTGAAGGCAGCGAGGCGTGCTTAGCAGAGGGGTGACGACAGCCACCTGCTCGGGGGCAGACAGGGCAGGTCCCCAGGAGGCCCTGGAGGCGGGCCGTTCCTGTGGTGTGAACACAGGCACCTCTGTGTCCCCACGCAAAGAAGAAAAGCACAGCTCGGACTGTGGCCATGAGGGCGGTAACGAAAGTATATTAAGGTCATAATAAGATGCCCGGCCAGCGGGGCTCGGTGCCTGAGCGTTGACCCGTGAACCAGGAGGTCGAGGTTTGATTCCCGATCAGGGCACAGGCCCAGGTTGTGAGCTCCATCCCCAGTAGGGGGTGTGCAGGAGCGTCCAATCCATGATTTTCTCCCTCTCTCTTCCTCTCTGAAATCAATACAAATACTTTCTTTTTTTAAAAAAAGAAAGTGAAAATGAGATATCATTTTTCAAAGCTCAAAACGGCAGGTATTAGAAATATGTAAACGCCCAGGTTTAAGGAAAGGTAGGGCATTTGCTTTGGCATAGTCTTCCGGAAGGTATTGCAGTCAGGATTAGAAACCTTAACACCTGCCTGCTCTGACCCACATTTCCCCTGTCGTAATTTAGCCTAAAGAGATGATGGGCAAAAGCAAAGATTTAGCTCCAAGAATACTCATACGTACACAGATTCTATTCAGAAAAATTAGAGTCAGCCTAAGTGCTCAAAGCAGTGAGTCCGTTCAGTCGCGGAGCAGCCGCCTTGCGGGAGAGAGTTAGCCGTGAGAAAGTGTGATGAAGGTCAGGGGTCAGCCGACTCTGGGCCAGAGAAAAACCCGTTAGGCCAGTGGTTCTCAACCTCCGCTGCACATTAGAATCCCCTGGGAATCTTTTTTAAAATCCTGATTTCTGGGCCTCGTCCTCCGGAAATTCCGTTCCTTTGTTACACTCCCCGGGGATTCTAATGTGCAGCCACGGTTGGGAGCCACTGCGTTAGACTGTGCGGGCCACGCGTGGTCTCTGTGACATAGTCTTCATTTGTTCACAACCTTTTCAAAACTAAAATCCCTTCTCAGCTTGCAGGCTGTGCAGAAATTCCACCACAGGCCAGCGTTCGCCAGCCCTTCGTATCGATAAATATGCGTTGATATATGTATGAAATAAGTGAAAACGTATGCTATGTAAAACAGTGTGGGTAAAGAATGCTTTGATTTTCGCTCAGGAGGGTGTGTGCGTGTGTGTGTGCACAGGAGTTCCGTTTATACGTGTCTGTGTCTGTTCACACACATACAGTAGAGACAGAAGATGACCAACCATGTTCAGAAACAGTGTCCGTGTTTGCTGATATGTCTGCAGCGGTTGGGGATCATCGTTGCTGTTAGGGTTTGGCGGTGACTCGGGCTGTGAAAGAATTCACACCGAGGGAAGAGATGCAGAGAGGAAGTTTATATCACTTTCCGAGGGAGGGAAGGGCCCAGTATTGCTGCTGGTCGCTGCAGGGCCCGGAGCAAAGGGTGGCCTGATCTTTTAAGCAGTGGCTGTTGCTAAGCAACAGGGAAGGGCGGGAGTTGGGGGCGGGGAGGAGCAGATACCAGAGGCCATCCTGAAAGGTTACAGTTTGTTTTCTAGGAACCAGACAGATGTCCTAGGGAAGTGTCTTATCGCTGTTTTCCCCAACCCTGTCAAACATGCTTAGAGCAAAGGTTATAGAGTTTAAAAGAGGCCTGTTCGAAGGGGAGGGGCAATGGGACTTCCTTGGTGGGAATGATCCCTGAGTTGTAGCAGCAGGGAGGAGGAGGATGCAAGAACGTAGCCTTGACAGTAGCCTGCCTCGTCCCGTTTGAATCAGGAGCCGTCAGTCATGGGGTGTGATTCCCAGGTGCTTCTCATAACTGTGGAAGGCCACCGCGAGGAAAAGGGGAGGCCTTCGTCCCGAACTTACAACGGTAGTGGGGCAGGAAGTCCGTTTTACTTCTGTATTTAGAATATAGGCTGAACATTGGGTAAGAGCTGACTTCTATCCCACTACGTGTGGTAATTAATACTAGGCAGGTCACTTTTGTTGGTCCCGGCTTCTCATCAGTTAAAAAGAGAACTAAAAGAACGCTCCTGAAAAATAATTTAAAACAAGGAAGACCCAGGCGTCCAGGAGGCCCGCAGGCAGATGAAAAGCGGACAGCTGGGCAGAGGAAGGCCCTCTCGGGGCGCGGGCGCGATTGTGGCTGGCACGGGTTTGCCTCTGACCTTGTTTTCTACACAGTGATTTTGGAGCCCCCCGAGTTTGAGATTGTCGGCTTTGTGGACCACATTAACGTGATACTGAAATTTCCACCCTCCTTGCCCAAGTTGCCACCTGGGGAAGGATTATGGCTTCGCTTGTCACTTGCCATAGAAGAGGAGTCAGAGGGGATTGTGAGGCAGGTAAGAGGTCAAAACATTTCTGAGTTGGTAATGACACTCTTTTACACATATACTAGAGGCCCGGTGCACGAAATTCATGCACTCAGGTGGAGAGGGGGTGTCCCTCAGCCCGGCCTGTGCCCTCTGGCAGTCCAGGAGCCCTCGGGGGATGTCCAACTGCCGGCTTAGGCCTGCTCCCCGCTGCACTCGCCATCTGAGCCTGGCTTCTGGCTGAGCAGCGCTCCCCCTGTGGGAGCGCACTGACCACCATGGGGAAGCTCCTGCATTGAGCAGGATCAGGCCAAAACCAGCTCTCCGACATCTCCCGAGGGGTCCTGGATTGCGAGAGGGTGCAGGCCAGGCTGAGGGGCCCCACGGGTGCACAATAGAGGATGGGGGAGGTTGGCCAGCCGGGGAGGGACCGTGGGAGGGCTCCAGGGCATGTCCAGCCCTTCTCACTTAGTACCAATCAGCCGGACCCCAGCAGCAAGCTAACCTACCGGTCAGAGTGTCTGCCCACAGTGGTCAGTGCATGTCATAGTAAGCGGTTGAGCGGCCTTAGCATCTCATTAGCATAGTATGCTTTGATTGGTTGAACAGCCGACCAGTTGACCAGACACTTAGCATATTAGGCTTTTATTATATAGGGTATACACTTTTTTAAAAAAATAAAGGTTTTTTTGCCCTAGCCAGTTTGGCTCAGTGGATAGAGCATTAGCCTGCAGACTAAAGGGTCCTGGGTTCAATTCTGGTCAAGGTCACGTACTTTGGTTGCAGGCTCCCCTCTGCCCCGGGCCCTGGTCAGGGTGTATGCAGGAGGCAACCAATCGATGTGTTTCTCTCACATCACTGTTTCTGTCTTTCTCTCTCTCTCTCTAAAAATCAATGGAAAAATACCCTTGGGTGAGGATTTAAAAAAATAAGTAAATCAAATGAAAAGAAAGGTATTTGTAATGATTTGAGCAATTAGACCCGAAGGGTCGAGGTCAGTGTGTTCTGATTTCAGGAAAAGAGGTCATGGAACTACACTGACACGGCCCCACCGCGCAGACTTCTTCCGGGGAATTAGCCATGTGCAAGGGACACACAGGAGAGAGGCGTGTGGTGCAGGGGGAGAACAGGCGCATCCCTGCGCTCCAGGAGATCGCTGAAGGGGTTGGTTTAGCGCAGCCGTGGGCAAACGACGGCCCGTGGGCCGGATCCGGCCCATTTGAAATGAATAAAACTAAAAAAAAAGAAGACCGTACCCTTTTATATAATGATGTTTACTTTGAATTTATATTAGTTCACACAAACACTCCATCCATGCTTTTGTTCCGGCCCTCCGGTCCAGTTTAAGAACCCACTGTGGCCCTCGAGTCAAAAAGTTTGCCCACCCCTGGTGTAGACGCTTGAGAAATACAAACGGGGAGCTAAAGAAAAGACCCAGAAACGTGGTGCTGGTCTCGGGCTGTGGACACAGATGAGGGAGAACGCGAGGGGATCACCCCGCGGGAGTGAGCTGTGCCTATTTCGAAACTGAAAAGATAGCCCTGGACTTTGAAAGCTATAGGTCGTTATGCAAAAGGGCCTTCCTAGCGTCTAACTCCAGAAAGGCCCGGAGCTGCCTGGGAAGGAAGAGGCCAGGGTTTGGGGGTGAATTTGAAGTGCACTAAAAGTCTCACACTGGGCTTGAGTATGACTTGGCAGCAGATGTTGAGTATCCTCTACCTGTAATGGAATCGTGTTTGCATCTGCCAATACAGGGGTTGAATGAGTAATGGGACATTCTCTGAAA